AAGGTATTAAGTAAGGGCTCTGATTTAGATAATAAGCTATATAAAGAAGTGGGCCAAAGAAGACATATGGGCTAGGGAGACCAAGACTGAGCGTAGGAAGTGTAAAGTTAGACTAGCGTTAGTAGCCCTTTCGGCTCGGCCGCCGGGCGTAAATAAATTGTGTGTGTATAGAGTACCGATCTCCGTTAATGCAAGCTTGCCCGTGGTCGGACTAGCAATCACGAGCATCGTTGTCTTATTAGCTTACGATCTTTCATAACTGCTGACAGCCAACCTACTAGAAGAGGGTCATATTTTTCCAAGAGAGGCTTGGCAATCGTTGGCAGGGCTTCCGCAAACAGCAAGGGGTCGCTTGTTAAGGCTCACGCTGCTTTCGAGGCCAAGAGCCACAGGTTTGAACTCTAGCCAGGCCGACTTCAGAGCATCAAATTTCGTACCTGATTTATCAGACGATCATTTTGTAACGTTTTGGTATGTGTAATAAGTTTTACAGTGTACGCTACCCTAGCTAGATATATCCACTAAAGTTCAGCCCGCCCGTTCTAAAATAAGAAAGCAGATATGTAACTAGCTCTTCATCGCATACAACCTCTTGTATATGTACCTCGCGATTGCTCCCCGGAGCGCAGCCCCTTACAAGTAGCCATGATAGTCAAAGCAATATATGTACTTATTACTAAGCCGCTTATCATTTACCAATATATTGTTGTCTTCTATCTTCTAGATTTGCCACACTGTTTCGGCTTTGTATCACTGTGTCATGATCCTAGATGCTGACACTATTGATTGCGCCTCTAATTAGCTAGTAAGCAGAGCGAAGGATGCGGCACGAAACGCTGCACCGCAATCACGTTACACACGTGTAAGGGTGAGCATTTTGCAAGGTTTGGTTGGAGATTTTCAGAGGGTCATACTCAAGTAACGTGGCGTCATCCCAAATACGGCGCAAGGTGTTTGATTCGCAGTATGTACTCTGGCTAGTGACAGATTGGCGCGATACAGCAGCGATGGAATCGCCAATGGAGGGCCCTGCGAGCTTAATGGCTTACCCTGTTAGCCTTACGCATCAAACTTTTGTAGACGCTGCCTGTGCGAGTCGACCTATCTATAATCACGCTGGAGGCAAGACATGCGATGCATGTCATAGCAGATAGATAAAAAGACAATCTCGGACGGCGACAGATCTGTATATACACTATGGCAATATTACACCGGGTAACGAGGTGATCAATTGTTGGCCAGTTTCGAGACCACGTAGCACAGGACTAGTGTGTAATATGCTTTAAGATGGAAGCAGCTAGCCTAATGGACAAATTTCCGTGCCTAGTGATCCAAGGTATATGCGACTATGCTGACTCGCACGAGAACAAACCTTGGCAACCGTGCGCGGCAGCTACGGCAGCAGCATATGCCATGTAAGGAGCTTCTCCAAGTTATCAAGAAGCAAGGAGTGGACGCGGTGGAATCGGCAAGTAAGTAATAATATGTGCTGAATGTAGCGGCAAGGTTAGAGGCACAGACCTTCTATGTACAGTAACGTTACATAACTATAAATTTTTAAGGTTTCATAGGTCGAGGGAGATTAATTTTCTCGAGTAGTCCTAAATCCTTTTCATCTAGCTCTTCCAGAAACACAAGCCGAATGAACGACAGCAGTTACCAGTACTACATGGCCTGGGGGGGCATCGGCAAGACACAGCTGGCGGTGAAGTTTGCTCGTCCACACCACTGCCGGTTCAGCGCTGTATTCTGGTTGGACGGCCGGAGCGAGGGCAGCATCAAGCGGAGCACCTCCAGGTGCGCCAGTAAGACTTCCCAACGTCAAATACCCAAGGCGAGCAGAACGTATGCTCCAGGCGGCGGAGACGGTATTGACGCTATCGTGAAGCACGCCATGAGCTGGTAATCACAGACGGACAATACTACCTGCCTGCTTATTATCGACAACGTGGATCGTGAACACAGTTTGCAAGGAGGTCTGTCTGAAGCATATGATGTGAAAACTACCTCGCTAAGGCTGATCACGAGTCTGTATTGACCACGACCCGGCTGACGAGGCTGGAACTGCTGGGCGAGTCACAGCAGCTAGGCTGGGTGAATAATGTACAAGCCCGAGGCATGTTCGAGAGCTGGTATATGAAGACATGGTTCGTTAGGACAGCAAAGCATTTGGGCAAAGTTGTCTTGGCTGACACAGCAAGCACAGACGCAGCTAAGGGCGAGTGCCTGCTTCGAGTACTTGACGGCTTGCCGCTCGCGTATCTCTACAGGGGAGAGAAGTTGGTGTTGAGGCCTATCTGCGCTTCTGAGCAGCAACGGAATGAGCTCATGGAGTAGAGATGCACTGCTGCAAGGCTACCCTGACCGTAGCGTATGGATGCCATAATGGCATTCTATGCTCGCCCACCCGATTTTATACTTAACGACCTGCACTAATGGATACCTCTTTGGACGGACCTCTTACCCTCTTGCATCATGGAATTACCGCACTAGGCTTGTTGGACAAATTGATATTAGCAAATCGAGCGACAGCTGCGCGTAACAAAAGCAACGCGTACATGATCTACAAGCCAAACCTAGAACTCATCAAAAAGATTAGAGTTAAACCAAGTCCTACCACTTATCAATGACTTCAAGTGGACATGCCACGCATATGCAAGGCTGTCACTGCCCTGGACGCCCAACCGAACAGCAGAGGGAGTTCTGTATTCGTCTCAGGAGTGAAGGGAGCGAGGCATGGGTAGAGACGATTTTGTGGGTTTTTTCGGAACGGATTGGGCGTTACCTTGGACAGGAGAGGTTGCGGCGGTGGTGGCAGCAGCAGCAATGGAGGACAGTGAGCAGGTGTAGAATGGCATCGCAGGTATGTCGCTCGTATTGACGCCACAGGTGCCCGACGGTGTTGATGGGTGGAATTGGAGGCTGCGGTTATCTGCCGTAGTTACACACATTACTATGAACGTCCAAATTATAAGAGCAAATGATCCAGTCATATAGCGTCTTTCTGATTCATGCTACCTTTGCAATTCTTTCCTTGTCATCCTTCGAAACGGGCAGAGACATGGCCCTCTGACTTTGCTCTGACGCAAAGGGGACGTCTCCACCTCCATGCAACACTCGAGTGCGAACAGGGTCGAGAAGCCCGTTCAAACGATCCATAGTGTTAAGCACTACCTTATCAGCATAATCTTCCAAAACGCCCACGCGTTCTACTACACCTTGATCAAACTCTGCCTTCATTTCATTGAGATGGTCATTGCAACTAGCCATTTCATCCTCTGCACGAGCTGCCAAATCACCCTTTAACTCGACATTCAACTCCTCTAATTCAATGCTAGCAGATTTGAGAGATTGATCGAGGTTGTTATCCATTACTTCACCATAAGATTCATAGGCCGATTTAATAGCTCCCTTGATTATGCTAAACGTCGGATCGTGGGTCGGATCGTCGTGACCAGCAGATGTTTTCTGAAGAAGCTCCTCTAACACCTGCGGGAACACTTTCATAACCACTTGTGCCAGCTTCTTCTTCCCCAACAGCTTCTTCTTCCTCAGCAGCCTCTTCTTCCTTAACAACTCTTTCCTCAACAAGTGTGAGAGCACTTTTTTGACGGCGGAAGTAACAGCTTCTTGAAAAAGGTCTACTGGAGCGGTGGCACAAGACGAAGCGGTGGACTCGGCGCAAAGCGATGGCGCAGGAGTAGCGCGCTTCAAATCATGCGCATCGAGCGTTAGACTAGGGCCAGCTAGGCAATGCACGTCAGTCACATCTTGATACAGCATCTAACTAGAATACTCACCGTGTCTCGATCGTTTACTCGATACATGCGCATATGGAGGGGGTCTGTCGTATTCTTCGTCTTGGAAGGGAGGTGCTTTAATCTCCCCGTGCTCGATGGATATAACCACAGACGCCTGGTCTTCAGCGGGAACACAAGCTTCAGGAGCGGCATCCTGCATATGGTTGATGATTAGCCAATCTACTTCCTTATGCGACTTCTTGAGCTCTGGTAGAACTGGAACACTAATGAACTTCTGAGAGCCTCCGAGAATACACTTAAGTTCCTTTAAGTTCTGGTCACTCAGCCATGCAATGTCAAAAACAATGTGGATTGCTGGTGACCGTGCCAGCTCTAAGAGTTTTCGAAAATCAGCATCGAGCTTGCTAAGTCCTACGGGATACCATAGAGGGCATGGTTGCTTGAGTGACAGCGACAGCGTTCCGGGCCGAGTTTCCCCATACCGAAGCAATGATAGCGATAATTTATGCGAAAGAGTGTCCATTTTCGCGAGCGAGTTCCCACCAGGCACAAGGTTGTCTCCTCCACAGTGAAGCTGATAGAGTCGCTTGTCAGCAACGCCATGGGTTGGCAAAACAAGTTCAAGAATCACTCCAAACTGCACACCCTTATTCAAAATCTTTAGTGTACAAAGCAGTGGTTCGTGTGGAGGATGGGTGGCAGACGCCAAAGCGGGAATTCCCCCATGGCGTGTGTGGATAGTTATCATTATGTGTTAGTTCCTTCTACACAATGCGACTACTTAACACAATGTACCCCTTTGCAACGGAGCAAGCGAGATGCAGCTGCAAAGGAAACCCACCCGCCCGGGCTTTCGCGTCGGTGGCAAAGAGCAGCCCTGACTCTGTCGCGCTAGCAATCGCCAAATCGTAGACCGCTCAAGCCCGCCTTGTTCACACAACACGTGCCTTGTTCGGGTATCGCTCCCAAGACACAAGAATCAACCACGCATGGATTGCGAGACTGATTCGCTATGTAAAGGGCCTAAGTGGATAGCGTACTGGGGCAAGACGCCATGCAGGTGAAACGGACGGTTTGGTGCCTAGCGGTAGACGGCTTGCTTTTGCGTTAAAAAAAAGGAAAAGGTTGAAAGATAAAGAGCGTAGCGAAGGTCAGGATCGTTGTCGGTCAGTCGGGGTGGAGGTTGGAGGGACGAAGTTGAAGACGGGGATGGTGAGGGGGATGGGACGAAGATAAGGGAGGAATAGAGGAGGTTGGTGCTTGGCGCTGGGTAGCGACGTTGGCCCGAGGGTCCCGGCTCGGGCAGTCCGTGCGCTTTACTAGTTGCGCTGCGCCTTAACATGGTCAAACTAGTTAGTTAATCCGCCACATCTACAGGCAGGGAGACGAAAGAGCAACTGCTACTTCAAGTATCGCTCCGAATGTGATTGGATCTAGTTTGTTAGAAAGGATTGCAAAGCGCTGCATGAGTCCAAGTCACCTTCCTCTTTGTGATACAGCATAAATCTCGACACGGACATGACGTGGCCTTCCACCTGCAACGTGTCTGGTGCGAGTACTGATTGGTTGTTCATGCAGAGCCATATCTAGATGAACGAACTTCTGCATGAACATCTTTAGCCCTGTTAGTAGTTGGGCTGATGTGTGCGAAGGCAGGCTAGGCGTCCTACGCTCGCACCTCCGCCCTGTAGTCGCACTGTGGTCCTACCCCTGCGACACGCTGATGACGTATAAAAGCACCAACACTCGCGTATGCAAGATCACAACGAACTGCATCCTAGTACCTAAACACCTCACCGTGTTGCGGCACGATCGAATATGCAGCCTAGCCCGTAACTACATTCTCGAAACGAAGAGGCTGCGGACTGCAGGACCGTGTCGCTTAACCCTGACTGTGATGTCGAGTGATGTGACCGCGCAATGCAGGTGGCAACTCACGGTCTAGTTGGCCGAGGCTAGCCGCATGGACGCATGTAATGCTTTGTGGGAACAAGTAAGAAGTTGGACTGATCCTGCACTCGCACTGCCATTCCGTACTTTGATCCTTCGCACGCATCGCTGTCCTTCGCCTCCATCGCCGTCCTACCGTCACTAACGTACAGCAAATCTAAGTCTTTAGCTGCTGCTTCGTACGCTGTGGTATACTGACTATAGGGGGAAAGTGGCCACATACTTTATAACCTGCTTGCAAACGGCACTCACGACCTTGACGGGTCCCGTCGTCTAGTATCTGGTGCCGAACGCCGCTACGACTACTTCGCTGGCCCCAATGGTGATGTTGGGTCGACGCATGCAAGTGCCTTCAACCCTTTTGATTCAGTCGAGGGGTTTCCAACTTCCGCGAGACACTCGAGAGAGCTGCAGATTCTGACGGCCAATTGTTTGACGTAGAGCCCTAAGCAGCGACCCACGCTACTGGAGACCAGGATGCGCATGGATGAATTTTTGTTAGAACATCCCGAAATCGAACAAGACAGAAAGATTTTGCCTTTTTAGATTTTTAGAGACGGGATCAAGATCGGATACGTAAAGTTGCGCTCTGCGTAATAAAGGGTCTTATTTTAAGTAATTCTAATCAGCCATAGATTTCATGTTTCATGCTAGCTTAGTGGAACCAATCCTAACAAGAATAAGTCTTGATAACCCATAGTCAGACACTGTATCGCCCCTGCTAAGAACTAGTACACGTTAGGTAAGGTTTTAGACAGCTATATAGGTGATGCGGGACACCCGTCAATTATGAAATCGTAATAGAATACTGATTTGCTGATCAGGGGTAAGTTTATAGCTGCTATCTAGTCTTTGCCACACTAGGTAACGACTATGGATTATGTCTAAATCAGCGACAGATGCTGCTTCGCGATCGTGCTAGCTGAGGATTGAGCTAGCGAATCCGATTATCTGTATAAGTAAGTGAATGACCAAGTATATTAACATCGCACACCACACACTTGTATTATAATTTCCTCGCTATATAACTAACTCTCTGACTGTAGATATGCAAGGCTTCCGTATAGAGAACGACTAAACATTCACAACTAACGATGCAGTTCATCTTGTAGAGATGCAACACGTTTAGCCAAGGCTGCCTTGTTCAGGGAAGAAGGTCCTTGGCCACAGCCATGGCAAGAGCGTTGTGGACAAGTGATTTCTATTACAGAAGTTTGATTTGCGTACAGTGAGCTGGAGGGATTATTGCCACAATTAGAGATAACGCTGAAGTGAGCCGTGGAAAACATTGTCCCTCACGTTCGAGCTCTTTGCCTTTTTTCCACTGTCCATTAGCTGATCAAACACAATATGTGGAGGAGAAGTTAAGCTTAGATAAAGGTACTTCAGTGGACAAAAGATCAGATTGTCTGTCGAGCTCAAAGTTTACTTGAGCTCAGCTTTTATCTACAGTCTCGGGTACACAATACTCCGGCTCCGTCATTTCATACCAGTTCAGTATCGGCCCGGTAAAGATGGCTCGCTTGTTTCCAGCTCCTTCACCTTCACTATTCCCTATTCCAGCTCAGGTTTCAGTCATGAATACAGGCTCTGCCGCGACAATATGTAATCTGATCTATGTCTACATATAAAGCTTTACATGTAAGTCTTGAGCGTATAGTTAGACACTCCATCAAACTATTGTGAGTCTAGTTATCTAAGACATAACGTTTCCATTTCGTAATTGTCATCACACCCCACCTAGTTAATATATACGATTTTTTCCGCAACTAGTTTTAACAACTGAAAACTTCTAGTTACACAAATTCTAACGTCTGATATGCCTAAAGTAAAACAGCAGACGAGACAAGTCCTTCGAAAATATAGTGAACGAGGCTTCTAATAGCTGTATTGGCTGCACTATTATCCACCACATAATTACATCGCACATTTGCTGGCAAAGCTGTATTAAGTGAGACCATGGCACGAGCTCGACAGTAATTTTAGGCTTTATCTAATGTTAATTACACTCACCAACTCAGTTAGTCACCGTGGTCTTTGTTACGCCAGCAAATAAAAGGCTCATAATACGATGTCGACACGTGACTGGAACATAGCGGATGTGGAAATTATGGCGTGGCGCTTCAAGCCGTTATTTTATTCGCCAAACGCTGCGCCAGAGCCACGCACAATGTCATCATGGAGGAGCTTAAGTGCCGTTAGTTATGTGTAGTGTCTAATCATAAGCATTTCGTGAACGAATCCTATAGTTTGTAAGACGTGATATGTTAACATAATAATTATCCTATGTAGTTAAGTAACCTAATTGAGTAGCGCATGTAGATCAGAGCGAAATCTTTCCGGGGTTTGCTCAAAATCTTTACAGGTAAGGTGTTCCCAGGGCGGCATACTATGAGAGAATCTTGGCGTTGGTGGGTAGGTAGTAGGTGGCCTGTGCGCATGCTCTTGCTTCACGGTTACCAATCTTACTGAGGACAAAGATGCATTTGACTCAGGCAGAATCGCCTGCTGGCGTGAAGTAGGCGGCTGGCTTGATAGCTTAGGTTGAGACTCCGGAGCAAGCCACTGTATCATTTCTCTGGCTTTCTCAATGATGTCTTGTATCTCGGGGTCGGAAATAGTACTACGCATATACGTGGTCAGTTACATGCGCATGTGTAGGAAAGTTGACAGGAATTTCTACCTCCGAACTTGATTAATATGTTTTGAGTTCCACTCTAAGAACTGAATGTGATCGGGGCACTTGGAATTCCAAAAGTAGTACTTGCGTTCTATCTGTGAATAATGAATGCATTTAGGTGTTTCGGGAGCGATATTCATCTTGTGGTATTGCTAAAGAGACCTTGAGAAAACTTGGTGTGGAACGTACAAAATGCTGTTGGAGACTCTAAAATACTATGTGTACCTAGTCAAGCCGACCTAGTTGAGGATTGTGGCACGGTCCTAGACACACTGTTGCTGGGCGGCATGCAGGTAAGAGATCTTCGTCTCGTCAACATGGATATACCTCAAAGCAGCTTTCTATATTCATTTGCTTACCTTGAATTTCACTAATAATGTAGTTGTCATAATAACGAGTGCTTGTCAGCGGGCAGTTTATGTATAGCATGTTATGTAGAGACTTGAGTAGCACGACTTTGAGTATTTCTCGATTCAGTCTCGCGATTACCAAACTCAACGCTTGCAGTTTCAAAGTTTTAGTGCTATCCAGATGCCCAAATAGAGATATGCATTATGCTGGAAGAAAAATATGTGTCATCTGTTGTACGACATAGTCTATACCATCAGCTTGAAGGTACACGCTGTATGCTAGAATAATGAGCATTTTAGATATAGCTCTGAAAAACTTGTCTTCGCGGTGCCAGGAGATCGATTTAGGGCTCATCCTTTTTGCTAAGAAGTGCCGTTTTCTTGACGCGTCTAAGCAAAACTTGTGTTTCAAGAGTCATTGACAGTAAAAATCATGTTTTTCAGAAACCTGATCTATAGCGATTACGCTTATGGATAAGATATGTCAGCGTTCTAGCATGCGCTATGGCTGGAAAGCTCCAGAATTCCTGGAACTTGAGATTGGGAATTTTGGTACGTTTCTCATGTGTATTTCCCATTGCACCTATCGTGACTAACTAGGTGATAGATCTTCAAGAAGCCGTACCAAGTGCTCAGGCTCCATCAAGGCCGCTACTATCAGGGTTGGAAAGCGCTGTAATCGTACGTGTTCTGGGTTAGATTGGAATTATACTTCTAACCCACTTAACTACATAAAACTTAAAAAAAGGAAATATTAGTAAACGTTGGTGATATATCATTATGTAAGCTAGTTGAGTGGCAGGCGGTGTTTCTGTACTACTATATTCAGGCCACCACCAACCATAACCACGATTCTTAGGAAGAAATAGCTTCTTAAAAGATTTGCAGTAGCATCTGGAAAAGCTAAGTATGAAATGCTGTGGTTAGAGTAGAGCTGAGATGACGTTGAGACCCTTGGGATGAGAGCCGTACCTAGTAAAATGTGATGATGCTACCGTCAGCCATGCAGTCCGGCCTTGTTACACATCAATTGACGACCGATGTTAGGCCACTCTTTGTGCGCTCAGATAATACTTTTCTCGTAACTAACATTTTAGAAATGTTCTTTTATTTTTAAGCTGCCTTAGATTGTATTCTAGCAGGACCCGATTGTTTCAAATTATCATATTAGCCATGAGCAATTCTCAAGAAAACTCTTCTCATTCTGACTTAATCATAGAAAAACAACAAACCCCCTACAATAAAGCAGGAGAGATACATCGAACAGTGCTACTGGATCCTGACGGCGACGTCTTTCTAAGATGCGCATGTCATTCTGAAGAAGGTAACCATGACTTCCGCGTCTCGGCAAATATCCTTCGACTCGCCTCACCGGTCTTTAAAAGCATGTTCAGTGGCTGTTTTCTAGAAGGCCAGCGATTGCTTTTGGAAGGCGTTCCTGTGATCGAATTAAAAGACGACGATCCTGAGCTTATGGGATCGATCCTACGGATTCTCCACTACCAAGGAAAGATTACAGATCACACAATGAGCGCAAAGAGTTTGGCTCGGCTTGCTATTCAATGCGACAAGTATGATCTGACTCGATCTTTGGGCCTTTGGACTACTACATGGCTTCGAAATGGGAGGACAAATGACACCAGCGCCGAGGTGTTTGGCTTTAAGATGTTGGCAGCCTACATATTTGGTGACTCCAAAGAGTTTAGAGATATATCACGAGAAGCTGTCTTTCAGCTAGATTTATCATTCTCATCAAAATGGGAAAAGGAGGAATTATTGTCAATACTCCCGTTCAGTATTACGGGTAAGTGAACAATGGTTGCTAGGAAATAACACGAAGTAGCTAAAGCCTTCTAGAAGCCCTATACAAGCGCATCCAGCGGGCATTAGATGAACTCGAAGCCGTACTGCAATGTATGGAGCATCTTCTGCGGGAGAACTCTAGATGCTATGATGATAGGCAATTTTTGTGTACTCAATGCGGTCGAAATCTTCCTGGCGAGGCAAAGAAGTGCCACCCTTGTCGTAACACTCAACTCCTACCCAGTTACTACACTAGCAAGACGAGAATAGCTGAGTATTTTGATATTCTACGCACAGTAGAACTTTGGCCGACTGTTGGGTGCTTCGCAACTTGCTCAGTCTTGCAGGTCTTGTCGAGATTTACTCAGGCTAGAGAAAGGCTCAAACATGCGTGTGCAGGAAGCAGTAACTGTCCATTACCAAGAGCACTGTACTTGCTGTTTGACAAAGCAAAGGAAGCACGGGAATGGAACAATGGGTTGTGTTTGCAATGCATTCGAGAAGGCGGAGATGATGGAGGCGGATTGTGCGATCATGAATAGAACACCTAGTTACTCGTTGACATGCGCGCAACATCAGTGTAGAGCGATGCCTTCTTCAACTCTATAGAAATACATGATATAGCCTCATCTTTTATCAAAAGTCCCATCATGTCAAGCC